TGCTAGAACACAGTACTGCTTACTGCATGTAGATATTGCTAAAATGGTCTATTACTGCAGCCCCAGCAGCCAGACTGTTCTGGCATGGAAAAAATGTGTTTGGGCCAGCTTGGCTCTAATTAACTATTTACTGTGATAATAAACCTGGAATTCTGCTTTAAAGAGAGTTTGAGTTTGGATTGGTGATTGAGAATAACTACATGTTTAGGGTATCCTGATTTATTCCTTACCTTCCTTCTAATATTTTGCTAAAGTAATTAAATTAATACATTTGATTACAATTAAAAAAGTGACAGGTGTCTACCTTTATGCTACCATAAGGAATAAAAAGTACCTGAGATGAATGTGCCTAAGACTTAATAACCAGTCACACATCCCCCAACCATCACATTCAGCTGTCAGCTGGGGGGATTCTCTGCTGACAAGTGAATGTAAACAAGGGAAAAATGGCTTGAGGTCCACCCCAAAAATTCCAGGCTCTCCAGGTCTGGTGTGAATTTTAAGTGGGGACCCGATGCAAAAAAAAAAAAAAAAAACAAGGCATACAGTCCCCTTAAATTCTGTAATCTCGAAGCCCCCTTTAACAATAAGAACCATGTGAATGAGTATTGGCTACATAGTACACATAGTGACAAGTCCTTTTAAAAAGCCGTAATGTAAGTACACACAAATAACGCTGTCTGATGCTCACCAACCTACCATAGTAAAAAAAAAAAAATGCAGCCTGCCAAGGCACGCATGGTACCTTTGCTTCCCTCCAGTTGAATGACAGGGTGAGGGTTTTACTGTGATTTCATATGGCCACTCCTTGTATATAACAGCTGTCACTCAATGGTAGGAAGCAAATGGACCAGGCGTACCTCAGCAGGCAGTGGTTTTCTTTTTCATTGGGTGTCAGGACTGTGATTGATGTTGATCTACATCTCTGGATGACATGATTAATGGTGGATGTACATTGTGGGGCATTTTATCTAATTATAGGACTGTGTGTGTTGCTTTTTAACTTTTTTAAATATATTTTTTGAATAGGTAGGGGTACTATGAACCCCATACTCATTCACTTGGGGGGTGTCAGGGCAGGATCTGGGAAACGGACAGGCAGGCCTAATAACAATGTAACGCACAGGCTGACGACAACCACCACCCACAGACCGAAGTCCCTCAGGGCGCGGAGTCTAAGTCCCAGGCTGCCCTTCACCAAGGCCCCTGATGGTGGGGATGGACTTGACGCAGCCAGGAACCAGGTCACGGACCCGAGGCACCCCAGCTGCGGTAATGGCCGCCGCCAATGGCGTGTAGCTAGTGGTAAAGACAATAGAGTAGTCGGGCAGGCCGGGTCAACAACAACGAGACAAAATGGTACAGGACAGCAGACGAGAATCACAGGTCACGAGCCGGGTTCAGCAACGGAGGGTCAGATCAAAGGAGAACACAAAGAATGGTCAGGTCACACGCCGAGTCAGATTCCAGGAGAGTCACGAGAGTCAGAACAGAGTAACAGCAACACAAAGACACAAGACACAAGTGAAAAGAGCATGTGCGGAACACAGGCTTATATGTCATCAGCCACACCCCTCTGGGGATGGACCTCAGAGACCTGAAGGCATAAAAGATTCCCACCATGCTCTGCAGAAATCCAAGATGGATGCCAGCACATGGAGTAACATGGACCTTGACAGGGGTGGGGATCTTGTTGCCTCCATATTCTTAAAAAGGAGCTTCCATATTCTGATAAGCCTCCCATCTGTAGAACCCCACAAGGCATGGTGGGCGTGGCCTGCCTTCCCACAATGCGTCCTGGCAGAGCTGCTCATTTGCATGTGGTGCCCTGCTTAACAGAAGCCTGTATGCTCCTTATTTTCTTCAGCAAAATCAACTTTTCAACTGACAGACATTTATTGATCACATATTTTATTATACAAAAAGCATTATTATAATTCATAGACTTGGTTTGGCATAAATAGCGCAAAACATTGAAAATGAACGCTCTCTATAAACTGATCATCTGACGTTTTAGAGGGTTTATATACCCCTCAGGCTCTCCCTTGATTTGTCCCTGCATCGGCGGGGCGCGGATTACAACATGGAACGATACAGAGAAGATTAGCTGGCCCCTGTGTAAGGTTGACATGCTAAAACACATGAAGCGGTCCACAGTTCTTTCTTGCACCAAAAGTCATTCAATTCAATGCTTTATATATATTTTTTTTTTACTCTTATCAACTATTTAAAAAAAATAAAAATTACAAGCTGCAGGTTATGTTTACATCGCAACTGCAAGCTGCAAGTATCCTAGCAGCTTCTCCTACCAACGTTCCTACCAATATTCTCTGATGAAGAGCAGCACGTCTATGGGCATCCCACTGCCCTGTTAGTCTATGGGCGCTCCATTCTCTCACTCCTATTGGCTCCCCGTTTTTTTCCCAATGCCTTTCTATACGGCCAGCTCTGGGAAAGGTCACCTGGCACTCAAGGTGAGGATGCCAAAGTGCGCCCCTCCCCCCACGCTCCTTCATTCAGGAAAACAAAAAAGGGAACCAGGGAACAAATACCATAAGCGCCCGCTTGCACCCTGAGCCCCCTGCTGACACCGATGTCTATGCAAATCGCACCAAAAGCACTGCTGCGTGCACTACTTTAGAAGTCTGCGCAGCTCCGACAAAGTCAGAACCGCACTGATATGACCGCTGTAATAGCGGACAACAGGGTGCGACTTGGCATACAATTTTGCAAGTCGCATGCCAAGTTACACCTGACGTGACTGGGGTGTAAGGGGCATGCCAGCGTGGGCGTTCTCATAGCGCACCTATAGGACAGACCACTCATTTCAGTAGGCTTCCCTAGGTGTATAGATTGTGCAGGCATCAATTTTAAAACCACAGAGATACGTAAATAAATCAAAGTGAGTTGAAAGTAATATAGCAAAAAAAACAAAACGAATGGACTAAAATGTTTCTTTAATAATTATTTCCCCTGCTCGTCTGATGTTCTTAGCTTATGGTGGTAAGCTATTTTTCTCTGCTGGGGATGGTCTTTGTCTGTTTTATGCTCGAGTGTCCTTATCGCTATTTTATTTCTAGGATTAAATTTTAGGGAACATTAAAGTTGCCCAGCAAAAGGCAACAAACTGAAACTGATATTACACACATATTACCAACATTGTGGGTATTATTCGTTAAGTTTGCGCCAATGATTACAGTCGCAATCAAACTTTTCCTATAAACAGACCCCATAACCAAAGAGGTGCACAGAGAATAATTTTTTGCTTAATATACTGTACCTAGTAGTGGGACTTTTAATTTCTTATTTTTCTTAGGATTGGACTGCTGTTCTATAACTCTAGGTAGCTCTAGGACAAAATTCTGTAAAGTGCCTAGATTTTTTTTTTTTTTAGAGCCAGTTAAGCAGTTCATGTACATTGAGTGCCTTGTTTACATGCTTAATGTATTTCTGTTAATGGTAATAAGTTGTGAAAGCATCTGCTGATATCAGATTTTTGTGTTTCTGGCTGCCTGATGCTTTTTTCACAGAATCAGGAGCAGATGATGAATTATGTGTTGATGCATTATAATAAAATCATGCCTTAAATAAATCATGTTCTCTTCCTAGGTATTAGCAGTTGCTCTGATGTTCTGATTTGAGCAAAACAAGGTATATATCAAACGATGGTATTAATGTGCTGATGTGATCAAATGTTCCATTAAAAGAAACACAATTAATTGAAGATGAATCACTATTTCAAAGAACGTAAATTAAAATAAACAGATCCACTTTCTTAAAGGTATACTTCAGTCAACAATTTAAAATAAAATCTTGAAATGCATACAAGGAGCACAGCCTGCCTGGTAAGTAGTTTAGTTTTTGATGCATACAGGGCTGTATTTCTCCAGTGTAACTTAATTTCTTCTGTCTGTAATCTGGTGATCCTGGAGAGCACCTGCGTGTGATTCTGGAACACTCTCCTTGCCTGTCACACATAGCCTGTCAAATGCCAATCAGGTTCAAAAATGCCTAGGAAATTGAATATTATTAGGGATGCAGAGAGAAGTGAAATTACACACGACAGAATTCAGAAAGTATATTCCTATTGCCCTTTTACTAAATCTGTATATTGCTGTGTATGCTTATTCTTTGTTACTTTACAAGGATTTAAGTTTGGAGCTTAATGGAATTCATTGACAAGTGTATCTGAACTGCAGTAGACCCTCTTTTCACCTGCATTTGACCTACTTCAAAGACGAGTCATTCTCAAGCTTTAACATTGGAGAAACCCTCAAAATAACTTTAATGGCCTAGGGAACCCCTATCAATATTGGTATATTTGCATACATTAGTGTTGTGGTCACTGTGATGAATGCTTCTTACATAGGTGCTTGGTGGGAACTATGCTACCTTACAGATAGCTAAAAACATTATTGGTGTCAGTGGTTGCATATCTGAGAGGTAGAAGCTACTCATTGCTCAAGGAACCCCAAACAACTTCTGGAGGAACCCTAGTTGTGAAAGGCCTTCAGAGACATATAAAAAAATAAAAAAAAAAGTCTGAAATGACTGTTGATAGAGGACCTGAAGGCAAATTCAAACAAACTTTGATTTTACACATTGCTGAGTTTACGGAAAAGCAATACTAGCTCTGAATGTTTTTGTTACCTGTATTTAGCCCTTATACAGAATATATTCAGGGTATATACCGTATTTTTCGCTCCATAAGAGGCACCTGACCATAAGACGCACCTAGGTTTTAGAGGCGAAAAACAAGAAAAAAAAAATATTCTGAACCAATGGACTGCGGACACAGTACAGGAGATGACCAGAGACTGCGGACACAGTACAGGAGATGACCAGAGACTGCGGACACAGTGCAGGGGATGACCAGAGACTGCGGACACAGTGCAGGGGATGACCAGAGACTGCGGACACAGTGCAGGGGATGACCAAGACTGCGGACACAGTGCAGGGGATGACCAGAGACTGCGGACACAATGCAGGGGATGACCAGAGACTGCGGACACAGTGCAGGAGATGACCAGAGACTGCGGACACAGTACAGGAGATGACCAGAGACTGCGGACACAGTACTGGGGATGACCAGAGACTGCAGACACAGTACAGGAGATGGTCAGAGACTGCGGACACAGTGCAGGGGATGACCAGAGACTGCGGAAACAGTGCAGGGGATGACCAGAGACTGCGGACACAGTGTAGGGAATGACCAGAGACTGCGGACACGGTGCAGGGAATGACCAGAGACTGCGGACAGTGCAGGGAATGACCAGAGACTGCGGACAGTGCAGGGAATGACCAGAGACTGCGGACAGTGCAGGGAATGACAGTGCAGGGAAGACCAGAGACTGCGGACAGTGCAGGGAATGACCAGAGACTGCAGACAGTGCAGGGAATGACCAGAGACTGCTGACCTTTGGGGAGGGAGGGGGAGCGGGAACCTGAATTTGACAGGTACCCGCTCCCACTTAATCGGAGTTGTCCTTACCTCTTCTTCCCGGGCCGGCTTCTGTTACAGCCGGGTGCCCACTGCGCATGCGTGAGAAGCGCTGCGCTTTGTGAATGGCCCAGTGCCTTCTGGGACCTGTCATGTGTCCCAGAAGACACCGGATCAATCACAAAGCGCAGCACATGCGCAGTGGGCACCTGGCTGTCACAGAAGCCAGCGCGGGAAGACTGTACAGCGCTGGAGCGAGGAACAGGTAAGGTCCTGCAGGGAGAGAACAGCTGACATGGTGGCCGCAAAAATACCGGACCGGGCCGCTTTATATTCGCTCCATAAGACGCACTGACATTTCCCCCCCTTTTTTGGGGGGAAAAAAGTGCGTCTTATGGAGCGAAAAAATACGGTAAACTGTTCTTCAGTGTAGTTAAATGTAATACAGGTTTTCAATAAATACTGTATGGAATCACCCTCTGTCTTTTTAGTTTCCTTATTGTCCATATAAAATCAGTCTGACAGTAGAAGTGTCAAAACTGTAAACTGGAAAAATGGAAAGAATGCAAGATGCAAAAGCTATTGACACAGATTCGTACCTACATACTCCTACTGTATCTGTGGCAAATCGTGTCATAGAACATATTCTACAATTGGAGTGGAGAGGTGTTTGGATTACATGAAAAGGTTAGTCATAGATAGGTTAGGTTTATACAGGTGTTATAAAAAGGCAGGTAAAAACAATTGTGAATAACATATGTAGGCGGAGTAAACAGCTTGGGTACATTTTACACTGATAGGGCACTGCTCCAAGATGCACTCCTATTAAACCCTGTACTCATTCTGCATGGGTCACTCTGCACTAGTCTCACTCTACTCTAGCCTTCTCCACTTGCAACAAAGAGGTCACAACTAGATATAGATTTATTAGTAAATGTTGATCGATGCAATGAATTATACATTTTATATTTCCATCCATCAGGTATAGCTGTAGGTCCGTTCTTGTCTATCAGTCTTAGCTGAAAGAGAAAAACAAAAAAGACTGATGTCTACAGAGCTGAATGACTCAAGCTCAGTTTTGTATAAATGAGTGAGTCAGAGTTTCAAATAGAGAGAGACAAATAATGCCATTAAAAAAAAAAAAGAATAACAATATATATATATATAAATATATATACAGTATATATATATATATGTATACTATACTGCCAAAAGTATTGGGACGCCTGCCAATGTTACACACACATGAACTTTAATGGGATCCAAGTCTTAGTCCGTAGGGTTCAATATTGAGTTTTCTGACCCTTTGCAGCTATAACAGCTTCAACTCTTCTGCGAAGGCTGTCCACAAGATTTAGGAGCGTGTCTATGGAAATGTTTGACCATTCTTCCAAAACGCATTTGTGAGGTCAGGCACTGATGCTGGACAAGATGGCCTGGCTCACGGTCTCCACTATAATTAATCCCAAAGGTGTTCTAATGGGTTGAGGTCAGGACTCTGTGCAGGCCAGTAAAGTTCCTCCACCCCAAACTCGCTCATCCATGTCTTTATGGATCTTGCTTTGTGCAGTGGTGTTGTCAGGGATCCCGGCCGCTCGGCGGTGCGCGCATGCGCAGATCGCCGACGCGCTCTAGCCGGCGAGCACGGCGGCTTGGGCCGCGCACTCGTGATCACGGACAAGCACCTGTCACCAATGAGAGCACAGGGCGCCCTATTTAAACCAGCCCTGTGCATCTCCATATCGCCTTATGGTCTTGTTCCTTGTTCCTGATCATCCTGTACTCTTGATTGCCTTGCTGCTGACCCTGCCTGATCCTGATACTGCTGTCCTCTCCTGTTTTGACCCCTGGCTCGTCCTGACCATTCTCTGCCTGCTCCCATTGCCTGACCTCCTGTTGATGAACCCGGCTTGTGACCTGTTATTCTTTGCCTGCCGCTCTATACTGCCTGCTCCGCTGTTACCGACCTAGCCTGTCTGACCATGCATAGCTCTTCACATCTGGCTCTTACCTGCTCTACGACATTGGCACCTGCCTCTACCACAGCTGGTGTTCCTCGGGGGTCGCGACCTGGTCTCAGGCTGCTTCAAGTCCATCCCCACCATCAGGGGCCCTAATGAACCAGCAGACTGAGGCTTAGACTCCGCGCCCTGAGGGACTCCGGGCAGTGGGTCACTAGAGGCTACCGCCAGTCGGCCGCTGACAGGTGTGCAGTCATGTAGGAACAGGAAGGGGACATCCCCAAACTGTTCCCACAAAGTTGGGAGCATGAAATTGTCCAAAATGTCTTTGTATGCTGGCGCCCTAATTCCCTTCACTGGAACTAAGGGGCCAAGTCCAACCTTTGAAAAACAACCCCACACCATAATCCCCCTCCAACAAACTTTTATGCTTGGCACAATGCAATCAGGCAAGTACTGTTCTCCTGGCAACCGCCAACCCAGACACATCCATTGGATTGCCAGACCGAGAAGCTTGGTTCATCACTCCAGAGAACACGTCTCCACCGCTCTAGAGTGTGGCATTCTTTACACCACTGCATCCGATGCTTTTCATTGCACTTGGTGATGTAAGTGATGGATGCAGCTGCTCGGCTATGGAAACCCATTCCATGAAGCTCTCTACGCACTGTTGTAATCTGAAGGCCACATGAAGTTTGGAGGTCTTTAGCTATTGACTCTGCAGTCAGTTGGTGACTTCTACACACTGTGCGCTTCAACATGCGCTGACCCCCGCTCTGTCATTTTATGTGGCCTACCACTTCATGGCTGAGTTGCTGTTGTTACCAGTTGCTTCCCCTTTGTTATAATAATACACTAACAATTGAGAGTGGAATATTTAGTAGCAAGGAAATTTTATGGATGGACTTATTGCACAGGTGACAACCTATCACGGTACCACTCCTGAATTCACTGAGCTCCTGAGAGCGACCCATTTTTTCATCAATGTTTTTAGAAGCAGTGTGCATGCCTAGGTGCTTGATTGTATACACCTGTGGCCATGGAGGAGGTGATTGGAACACTTGAATCTACCGTATTTTCCGGCGTATAAGACGACTTTTCAACCCCTGAAAATCTTCTGAAAAGTCGGGGGTCGTCTTATACGCCGGTGCGAGCCGGTGTCAGGGCGGCACTTTTTCCTCCTCCTCCTCCAACAGACACTATGTACAGGGGGTGGGCAGAGGGGCTGCTGTACCTTACCTGGCTCCGGTCCCACGACGATCTGGTCCAGGAAGCGCGGCTGCTCCTTCTTTCAGTTCGGCATCTCGATGGTCACGCGGCCGCTCGGCTCCGCCTTCTCACCGGTGAGTGGGCGCCAGCACTGGAAAGGCACACAGGCGACCAATCACCGGCGAGGAGGCGGAGCCGAGCGGCCCCGCAAAAATCGAGCGGCCGAACTGGAAGAAGGAGCAGCCGCTCCTCTCCCCCACTGACACTAACGATGGGGCACTATTCCTCCTCCACACTGACACCAACGATGAGGCACTGTTCCTCCCCCACTGACACCAATGATGAGGCACTGTTCTCCCCACTGATACCAACGATGGGGCACTATTCCTCCCACTGACACCAACGATGGGGCACTATTCCTCCCCGATACCAACGATGGGGCACTATTCTCCCCACTGATACCAACGATGGGGCACTACTTCTCCTCCCCACTGACACCAACGATGGGGCACTACTCCTCCTCCCCACTGACACCAACGATGGGGCACTATTCCTCCTCCCCACTGACACCAATGATGGGGCACTATTCTCCCCACTGATACCAATGATGGGGCGCAATTCCTCCCACTGACACCAATGATGGGGCGCAATTCTTGCCACTGCCAATGATGGGGCGCTATCCTCCCACTGACACCAATGATGGGGCGCTATTCCTCCCACTGACACCAATGATGGGGCGCTATTCCTCCCACTGACACCAATGATGGGGCGCTATTCCTCCCACTGACACCAATGATGGGGTGCTATTCCTCCCACTGATACCAATGATGGGGTGCTATTCCTCCCACTGACACCAATGATGGGACACTATTCCTCCCACTGACACCAATGATGGGGCACGATTCTTCCCACTGACACCAATGATGGGGGAACTATTCCTCCCCATTGGTATCTGGGAGGATAGTTGCCCCTCATGTGTCAGTGGATGGCCCATCTATTCCTCCCACTGAATAGCACCCTAATGATGGGGCATACCTATTCCTCACACTGATGTTTTTTCGTTTTTATTTTTATATTCCTCACACACTGACACTAACGATGGGGCACCATCATTGGTGTCAGTGGGAGGAATAGTGTCCCATCATTGGTATCAGTGGGAGGAATAGTGCCCCATCATTGGTGTCAGTGGATGAAATAGTGCCCCATCATTGGTGTCAGTGGGAGGAGTAGTGCCTCATCATTGGTGTCAGTGGGAGGAATAGCACCCCATCATTGGAATACCATACTGAAATAGCATACCATATTGAAATCAAATCTGATGTTTTTTCGTTTTTATTTGGTGTGCGTTGGAAGAGGGGTAGTCTTATACGGCGAGTATAGCTCAAACCCTATATTTTAACAGGAAAAGTAGGGGGTCGTCTTATACGCCCAGTCGTCTTATACACCAGAAAATACGGTAATGATTTGGAGGGGTGTCCAAATACTTTTGGCAATTTAGTGTGTGTGTGTGTGTGTGTGTGTATGTGTGTGTGTGTGTATGTGTGTGTATATATATATATATATATATATATATATATATATATATATATATATATATATATATATATATCCACAGTATATATAAAGTGTCCAGTATGACAGCAAGGATATTGATAGTTCCCTAGAGAATGAATGATATCTTGTCAGTACTCCTGTCCCTACATCTGTCAGGCTGGAATGATGTCTGGTCAGGCTTCAAAGGAAAGTACTGCTTGATAATCTTTTGCTATGACAATGACTGTTTTGCCTTTAGCTTGTCAGTCCTGTTTTGAAAATGCACAGTGAAGTAGAGTTTGTTATATTATACTATGGACTGCCTCTTGCACCTATCCCTCTGCTGGATCTCACAAAGGTGAGACATGCACACAGCTGAATTTTGTACCAATCTCTTTACTTTAAACATTATGCAATTATAAGAGAAGGTAAAACTATTTTGAAGCCTAAATGTATTTAAATTGACATTTTTAAGTACGGTCTAAGCCAGTCTTTGTGTTGTTTAAACTTTAATTTTAAGAGAACCTAATCACACCTCTTGGCTCTAAGCAGCACTTGTCTTTAATAAAGCCATGAGACTACAAATGGGGTACTGTACTGCTGGATAGACACATTAGATTCAGCATAATGAAAAGTGAAATATTGGTTCATGCAGGGTTCATCAAATCAGCTAAAAGGCTCAAATATATGAATAAAGTGAGCCATAACCTCAATTATTTTATAGACTCTATGGAATTGATTTACTAAAAAGCTGTTAACTTTGCAAGGGTAGTGAAATGTGGCAAATTTTCACTTTGCAAAGAATACCCAATCATGTACAATAAGAATTAAAAAAAAACTATTTTTTACTTGAACATGATTGGATGGAAGTCAGCAGAGCTTCACTTCATTAAGCTGTGGGTAAAAATATCCATGCAAAGTGCAACTTCTCTTGCAGTGTGAACAGTCTATTTACCTTTAGTAAATCAACCCCTATATCTCTTCTTAAAAACAGGGAATAGTTCACTTACTTTATGTAGGTAAGTGATCACATAACTTAAACCCAAGAAACCTAGTACTGTGATTGATTGCATTTCAAAAATCAATATTTAGAGAGAGAACTGTGAATACAGAATTTATAGTGGTGTCCTTGAAGCAGACCATATAAACATTGTATGCATGTACTTTAAAGAGAGAAAACTGTCTTTAAAATAGCCCATAAAAACAGAAGTGATCAACCATTGCATCACCTAGGAAGAGAAAACTTGCATGAGATAATCCTTCATTCATTCTTTTTGTTTTTGAGAGAGAATGAACCCAATAAAAAGAATAATTTGTTATGCTTAGTGTAGATGGTAAACAATGTTTAAGGAGATCTCTTGAATAAAATTCTTGAATAATTTCCATGTTGTGATTCTTTATTATTATTTGTGTTTTTAAAGTGAAAGAAAAGCCTAGCACTAACTATTCTTAAAAAAAACATTCCATTCCCTTCCTCCTACCTAAGCTGTGTAAAAAAAAAAAGAAAATTACATTTATCTTTTTTCAATCTGGTCTGTCTTGTCACATGATCCTGCAACTTCACAGGGGAGCCCGAGCTGGTAGATCATGTGACCAAACCAGCATGGATTACAAAGAAGTAAGTACACAGATATTTTTTACACAGGGTATGAAGGATAGGACGAGAGGGAAAGGAACATTTTTAGGAATAGTATTGCTAGGCTTTTCTTCATTTTTAATAGTGTCCAGATTCACCTCAAAATATAGGAACTGTAATGGAGAATGTTGGATTCCTAACAGTGTAGATTTCTGGTGCAATCTAAAAGGGAAACAAGTTTGAAACTTGTTGCTCTTTAGAATGTAACAAGAAAGATTTCTGATTGGAGTGTACTAAGAACTGGTCTACTGTTATACTGCATTGCATTCCACGTTAGTAGAAACCTGAGTAATGTGTCACTGCTGAAGGCTTTCATTGTCATCCTGGAGCCCTGGCTGAAGGCCGCTTTATGCTGCACAGTCCAGACATTACAACAATGTCAGAATTAATCAATCTCTCTCCTTGCTGGTGATGGACAGGCCTTTTGGATGGAGAAGTGAGATTGGAAAATTTTTCATTGGCCCCATCAGCAGCTAGACCTGGATCTGCCCACAGGTTAGAAAGAGGAGGAAAGACAGGGAGCCCAGGGGAAAGAAAGTGTGAGGGAAGTAGGGCTGCTGTGGTGAGTCTCACAGGGAAACCCAAAAGGAAGGTGCAGGATAGAGAGCAGAGTCTTAGTTTGCTGTTCTACATTTCACCTCACCTCTGGAAGATGTGCCAGCGGTGTGCAGATATATTGAGAGACAGAACAATCTGTTTGCAACCATCCTTCACAGCCTGGAGAGTTTGTGATTTGTGTTGCGTCCACCACCATCTGTTCTGCTGAGACAGTTATCAGGCTACTTACTGCCGAAAGAAAAATGTTCAGCGGGCATCTGAGTGGTCCTTGGCCATCCTTGTGTGTACTGAACTTGCTGGTTCCTGGTAGACCTTGTTTGCTGTCAGTGGGACTCTTTTTCAAGGGGATTTCTCCCTTTATTCATTTTATTGACCTTAGAATACTGGGAGTGTTTCTTAAACCTATGAATTACAAATACTTACATGAGGGTGGGTGTGCCAATGCAGGATTAATGGAGCTCAACACTGGCAGATATGCCAATATTTAGCCACTGGCCAGTGGCTAGATAGGGCCTAAGTATTATAGTTAGGCTTCATTGTTGTTCACACTTTATTTACAATTTAGTTATGCTTCTCTTCATTATTGTTGTTGCTGGTAGAGTCATCCCTCTCATTCACCTAGTGCATTTTTGCAGGCCCAGTTATAGTCTATAAACAGGAAGAGCTCTATCTCTCTTCACCTCACTTTGTCTAAATTTTGTGGTTTATAATGTGTTCACTTTGTTATTGTCAAATCTGTTTAAACAGTCCCTTTCCAACAGGGCTTACTGCTATTTAATTAAAGCCCATTTATTCCTATTAGTGTGTCAGGGTATTGGTGGGTCTAGTGAAGGGTGGGTCACCACTGGGAAGAACAGGAGAACCCAAACATTCCAGCAGAGCCGTAGGGAGTTAGTGCTATAATCCAATTCCAGAACAAATCAGGAAAGTCACCTTAGAGATTAGTAAAATGTTTGTACAGGTGTCCTATCCTACTAGTTTGGGAAAAATGTGATGCGTTGGGGGAATTTCTTTGGTTTTTAAAGATTAGGGAGAGGTAATCTCTAAAATAAAGAGGTGATCTCTTGAATATAATTCTACAATAAT